AGTGCATACAATAAAACTCTGACCATCAAGCGTGTGTATCTCCACATCAGCATATGCCTATCAGTGATGAATGGATCCTGTGCACAAGCATGCTCCATCCGCCTTTCAACCACTTCGTATCTGAAAAGAGGTCACTTATTTCACCGAGTTTTTCACAAACATTTGTTCGTCTAGCCAACAGGTGATCACGTATGATGAAGTTCAAAAGCACTGAATACATTTCAGTGAATTTAGTCACCTCAAAGAATACATGGAACTCAATCTGACTGCCCCCAAAGCCTGGCATACATCATCAATTTTTTTGAGATTCCCAGTCCGTACACTCCACAGTAGACTGAAGAACACGGCATAACTCATTTAAACGTCCCCAACTTTCTGAAATCACACGCTTTGAACTTTCTCCCTTCAAGGAAGAAAGTTCTTCTTTTAGCCTTTCCTGAGGTGTTTTGTTCTAGTTTCCACAACCAGCCTCAATGAAACTCACTTCAGTGTTTCATCAGCGAAAACGTTTAATCCTGTTCTGCAGAAAGGGACAAGCTGAATGCGTTTTTTAGATCCTATATAGCCACCTAAGCTTCAGTTTAACCAACGACGCATGTGAAATTCCAGGAAATGCACTGATTTTCTGTCTGCACAACACAGCGAACAAAGAAAGGACGCAAGTCTTGCATGCTGTAGCTGGAAAGTCTAGGGTTGAATTTCCAAATCTGAAGTTTATTTATGCACACAAATAGTACCTCTGTTTTGGGACTAGACGAAGTACAGAAAGGTATTCCGTTGCTTCCAGACTCCATTGAATGTATTGCTGAAGACACGGATGACAAAAAGGGCACGATGCTTGTTGATCCACTGTCGGACGTTGATAAGTTCGAACACAAAAAAGTATTATTGTGGAATTGAAACTGTGTTTCGTATGTCATGAATCCTTGTTGTCTCAGTTTAACTGACCGCCATTTAAGTAGTGTGACTCTAACCAATATTCAAATCAATGCTTGAAACATTGGAACACCTTCACATGTTATCTATAGTTGGTTTTATACCGTGTGCTGCCTTACAGCGCTGTGCCCCCTGAGAGATTTATATACTCACGTGTTCATCTCAAAATTCGTGGTGTATGCAGCTTTGAGAGCCAGATTTTTCATCATCCGATTCCAACGTTTCTTCACACTGCGAAACCTTATCCAAATCACCGAAATCTTTGTGACTGGAAAGTTTGGGTGGCTTAAGCTGGTTTGTCCTCCAAAGAAGGGATGATTCTCACCTATACACGCATCCGTCTGTCGGTTGTTTGGTAGATCTGAAGATGAGTGATCCACGTCTGTAGAGAAATCTAAATTTTGAAACATTATCACAAAACATTAAGCATCTTAGAGCAAGGAAAATTCCGTTGGATGTATGGGACTTCCATCTGAGAAGTCGGCACTCGAGAACCCAGTCAATACTTGATGACATGATGTGGCTTCTGTTATTGAACGATGAGTGGAGCTATGTCCTGTCCAAATGGGAGCTAATCACACCTCAACAGCCAATAGCGGCCAAAGGGTTAAGTGCTCAACCACCGACCGGAAGGTTGCGGGCTCGAAACTCTGAGTTTGGTGAGATGCGCACTGATGATGATTCGCAACAAGGGAGAACACTTCTCGGCTTTTAATCACAGACAGGGTTTAGTGACAGAATGTTCTTAAAAAAACATAGATAGCATGGGCGGATTGTTTGGTACTCTGTTTATTAATTTAGATTATACTCTGTGGACATTTTACTGGTGATGCTGGGACTCCTGCTTTCTTGCTTAAATGAAGCACACTGGGGTATTAAACGGGTTCGTCTCGAGCCTGTTTAAACTGTTTTGCGAGTTTTTCTTAGTGAAATATGGTCTATAGGTCTATTTGGTGAAACATGCTGGAATCCGAAAAACCGACGGGTGAAACTGCTACGGAAATATCGAGCGATTTTTTATGTTCCGCAGATTTCGATTGTCAATAGCCTCGAGCGCAAACTGAGGCTGAGCGAAACTTCCACGCGCCGGTCTACCTGCGCTCAGTTTTTCTGCATTCTCCTGTCTAAAAATGACACTTTTCTCAGTCACTTCAAGCGACGGCAGGTGTGCGATAGTCGAATTCTGTCAAGCAGCCTACAAAGACGAGCGCACTGGGTATCACGTGATCTACTGCACGCCTACACGTTGTTATCGGGCTGGCAGTAGGTACTTTGTACCGACATATTTAGAAATTTTAATCGCGATTTCGACCTTTAACTGAAGTAAATCTGTGGGCGAAAACACATAAGTAGTGTAAGGTTGTTTCGTCCTTACTGGGACTCAACAACTGTACATACATCACGAAACTCCAGGGAGTTTCCAACCTGCGAATTTCCGGAATGTAGCTGCGTTCCTAACAGTTTGGCCGCGAACGGCTGATCAGCATCGTGATCAGCTTGCAGTTTAACGGGATATAACGCCAATCCTTCTTCTTTGGTAGATTTCACATCAATTGGTCACTTATTGAGTGGCAGATCTAGTGACAATCTTTCAGATCGAAAGTTCAGACAACTCGCGAATCATCTCTCTACCTGAGCTACTTTTAGTTTATTTGTAGGTGGTTGCCTGGTTTATGAAATTCACATCTACGTTAATCTCGTTTGAATGGTCCTCCTGATGTCTTGGCGCAATTGTTCTTGTGAGTCTTCACCAAACCGGTGGGGTACTAGACCCGAGTTTCACACTTATTACGGCTGATCACTGGATATCCTTGGCCTTGTCGAGGTTCAAACTCCGGGCACCAGACTACACTACCAGCTTATTTTGTCCATTCTGCTCAAGTATGAAGATGTTTGCCCCTTCAGACATGTTAATTGAGGTGAATGAAGAGGATAGAAAAGGTACCCAGAAAAACTGTGCTCACATATCACCTCAGGCACTTTAGTGATGTAAATTACCTGTCACTTTATTTTGCGAGAAATCAGGAGAGGAACCTTCAACTAAATTCACTTTCGAGGGAGTCCGAAGCAAAAAGACGTAATCGCTATACGATCATCTTTTCTGAATTCACGGCGAGACAAATGAAACCCATTTGGATGTTTTTATCATGATTTCGGAGCGCCACTCTAAGTCTGCACGAAACCTATTCATTCTACGACCCCCATAGGTGATATCATTCGATTTGTGGATCTTAAAGTTAGATGTATGCCTGCGTGACAACAAAACTAGTTGAATTTTGCACAAATTCTAACTTGTTCAATGGCATTGATGCCCTGTGCGGCACGCAAGTTCGACTACTTTTAGGACATCAGGAAAAACCAAAACACTTACCAAAATTGGCATTCATGCAAATCAGCTAAGACAAAATGGACAATCGGTGAGCACCACAGAAATGGACAGTTACATGTCTTGATCTGAAACTATGTTGGGAACTTGCTTAGACTTACTGGTGTCAGTTGTTATAAAAAACTTAAACCAATGTACTCTAATCACTGTTGTAATGAATTTATATCAGTTCAACACGGACATGGTGCTCGGGTTTATGAATGCAGACTACTGTGTAACACAATCTGTCGTCCACCAATCGATGACCATCCCTTATCGAGTGATCTGCTTTCCTCAATCTGCGAAGGCTGTTATTCGACTAAGACTTCCTAAGGTCACAGTGACTTGTGTTTGCTGGCCATTGTGGGCTCTCTGCGTACTTATAGCACTTTTATGCATGGCATAGGGCGTTGAATATAAATTTTTACCGTTTAATCTCACACCAGACCCAGTATGACGGACATTTTGTGACTGGTTTGCGAGTCTTGATTGTGCTAGCGCTTACCGCACCCTGAAGAGCATTCAACATTGTTTGTCCTTTCTTCGGCTGTTGGTCTTCAGACGATACCATACCAAAATCTTTACATACTTTGGGATTCACCTCACCAGACTGGAACTGTTCTTAGCATGATTTCGAGTAAGACGTTTCTCTCTTTTCTCCCATATTCTCCTGTTACTCTTTCGCATTCGTCGCTTGCATTCACTTTTTATGTTTGTGACCATGCTCTTAAAAAATAAGTGATAAAATAGGCAGCTACCTTGTGCATGTTACTGTGCTTGCAAAATCATTTTTCCAGCCACGTAACACACTACTCACTAGGACAGTCGGTTTTCTAGTAGCCAATAGCTGAGCACATTTCCCCCACAAAGTAAATGGTTCCTCAACGGTGACATGAATTCGAATGAGATGTTTCTCTCTTTTATCCTATATTCTCATGTTACCCTCTCGCATTTGTCGCTTGCATTCAGTTTTATGTGTTTGACTATGATCTTCAAAAATAAACGACATAATGGTAATAGACCATCCCAAAAAGTATTTATAACGACCATCATTGTTTCTAGCTTGCTCAACCGAAAACACATCTGCTTGAAATTTTGAAATTTCTGCGAAGCGTGCAGTAATCCGTAATCTAGCGTTTGTTTTCGACCTTCGTCTCCATCACTTATTCACCAAACAAGAGAATCTTTCGAGCCTGTCATTTTACACCTTAATAAGTGCGGCCGATGCAAACATCAGCCTCACCATCAGATAGAACTATCTACTCCAGTAATATTGTCCCATGTGAGGAAAACAATAGTTTGGGCTGATATGCTGATGTGTTTCCTTTTTGACGCTTTCTCTTTTGAGTTAAAAAGACATCTGAGAAATTCAGCGGAGTAGTCAATTATAAACACCATCTGAACTTATATTATCCTGTCACACTCGAAAAACCACAAGACAATCTAGACACTGACGTTTCAAGTGCTCCACTGCAACTATGGACCCATGCTCTACCTGCACTCAAGCCATCTTGAGCTATTTAAACCAATGATTGCAAAGTGAAACTGTATGTATATTTTGCTTAGAAAACGGTGCCTTTGCCCGCCGATTAGATTCAAACTGTGCCGAGCTCACTGAATCCCTGTGTGCCTGTCCCTTACTTCAAATGAATGAAACCTTTGTAAATTAAACATTCTGCATTGAATTTTTCTACTGTAGACGCAGTCCGGAAGTCCGTCGGAAGGTGTACTTTATCGTGGCGACGCTATCATTGCAATCAATGGTGAGACGACGAGAAATCTTAGCCATGGAGAGGCCACTGAAAAAATCCGCTCTTCTGGCACAGAACTTCAAATGACTATATCAAGGTTAGTATGACCGTATCTTTTGAAGTGAACTGTGTAGTTTTCTCCTTTCGATTGAAAGGGAAAAAGGGATTTTGTTTCTACACACCCGCTGCTTTTATGCCCTTGGACGACTCGCAAATCAGGATAACTAAGTATCTAAGAACTAAGCCTATCTCTTGTTAGAACACACTATTTCCAAAGCTGCTGAAAACCTTTCGATAACCGTAGCCTGAGCTTGCCTTTCGTCCGAGGTTCCATCAGCTCTATTTCTGACAGAAACCTGTGGCGGCTTTTGTACAGCATATTCATTTGGAGAATATCGCAATACGGTCGATGCAGTTGGGTCTCTCGTAAGCATGAATGTAAGCTTCTGGAAATGAGTGTGTTTCATCTTTTTAATGCACAGGTAATTGGACCAAACTCTGTATCCAAAAGCATTTTGCACAGATCCAAAATCTCGACCGGGATTACTGCTTTCATATGACCCAACTAAATCACATCAGATTTTTTAACCTTGATCCCTAGCATTGTTTTGTTCTTCCAGCTAGTATAACCTTTATTTACTGTTTTGATCAGTTTTGTTTATAGATGTATATATGTACACAGTGCAATGTGGACATTTCAAACAAACTAATGATTGCTTTCATTTGGTCCAGTAAAGTGGGAGCATGTAATCACATTCATCAGGGAAACAAAAACCCACCTCTCGCTGTGACAATAGAAAAACAATACTCATCAGGAACCGGGGACTTGGATGACTGACATACCCGATCGGTGAACTACCAATTGAACATCTTTGCAGCTTCTATCAAAATAACAACACCAGTCATAGAATAAAACTCATCGGACGCCCAATGTTCTTGCCCGTTGAGATTCCCCACAAATAATTTTACTGCGTCTTAAATCCTAAATTCGTTTGTTACCCACTTAGTCTCCAAACCTCGTCATCTGAAACAGTGTGATGACCATGCTATTTCGAACATATTTACATCCAGCTAGCATACAGTTGTAAACCACGTAGTTTTTCCGAATACCACCCCGGGGTGCGAGGCGAAATGTGTGTAGTACCAAAACACCACGTGTTTCTAACACGCGTGAATTGATTTTTGTGTTATTGACAGGTGCAAACTTCTGAAGCAGGTCAACTGGAGTTCTACCAGCATGGAGTGCGTAACGTAAATCACCGTTAATTTCAGATTTATTAAGTTATTCGATTAAGCTCCTTAGGGACGACCATGATTCCGGAGGACACTTCTGTTTCCGTCCGATAATTTGGACTAGCTGGGGTGACAATTAGCCACAGTGCAACCCTGAAAGATGAAGTGTTCTGGTTCCAGCATTTTATCCTCTCAGGGAGACCAGTCATGAAGAAACAGGACCTTACTGTAGTGTGATGGTGTCTCCATGACCTACTGAGCCGCACTGAATAGTGTCTGTGCGACACACATTTTCGCATTCCAGGTTAGTCATTGGTTAGACGTCTGAAAGACATTCTCCTGGGCCTCCAGGTCAGGGGTTAGAAGATGAGGGGCGAATCGATCTATAAAAATGGTGGTCATTGCACTTCCCTCCGAATACCGCTGCTTGTGGTCAGGCTTTTGGGCCAAAGGTTTTGGTCGGGGATCCTAATCCTCTTGTCTAGGTCCTGGCAGTATCCCAGCCCACGGACAACTACGACACCTACAACTAACAATATTCTCATGCCACATCAACCATCTCGTGGGTCGCCTTACTTAATGCGTGGTAATCCCTCTTCTACCCAGCCTCATCCTGATTCGAATACTATCTCCGTAGATCCCAGAGTTAGGACTGGCTGCACTGTAGCACATGCATCACATTCACCTGTGGCTTCTGAGTGTTCGACTATAAAAACAAACCTAAACACCTCGGAATCTGTTTTCAAACCCCAAAAGCCGATCCACTAAGCTGACTTTAGTGTTTGCATACTAAACAAAGCGGAAAAACAGATGGTTCTTCCTCGTACGATGCATTCCTTCTGTATTGATATAGGCTATCTGTCAGAAACGATGACAAAAGATGCAAGTACTGTAATCAAACTGATGGTACCCTCGATCTTCTCCAGCCGAAAAAATGGCAGGTACAAAAAAAGCTTCAAAAGTCTGAAATCTGTTCCACTTGTTTCTTTCGAATGGTCCTCTAGAGCCTCTTGTCAGCAAAGCTATCAGGCACCAAAGTGGCTCCCCGATATCCAGAAAAGCATAAAACTTTTGACTCTGTGTTCAGTACTTTGAATGGCAAGTTCGTTGGCTACCTGATACCTCCAAACCGGACTGCCGGCCTTCAACAGAGAGGTGGACTGTGAATATGGAGCAGCCCTGGAACTCAGAAGTGTCCAACTTATAACTCTACTCAAGCGTCATCGTGCTACTGGTGCTGCCTGATATCTTCGTGAATGGCGGTGAATCCCTCAGTCACTGCCTGAATAGTCTATTTGCGTCCAACTGGGCGAAAGAGATCATCCTAGACAACTGGAGTGAATAGATACCAATGACCATTTTCAAAAAGGGTACTCACATAGAATGGAGTAACCACAGAGGCGTCAGTTCGACTCCCGTTCTAACAAAGCTTCTGGAGTCGCGGGCGCAGGTGAAGCAATTTTTTGACCGGGAATAGGCTGCGTCGACTACATCTTCACATTCCGTCAGATGTTAGAGCAATGTCACATGGACAGGCGACTCACAAACCTGGTTTGCATTGACTTCAAGGGTGCCTTCGATTTTGTCAGTTGACTAGTGCTGTCATCCACACTTGCTCAACAAGGTATGCCCCAGAAATTTGTGAACATAATCCGATCCCTATATTCCCATAATTCTTGGCGGATGAGAGTGTATGGTCAGCTCTCCAAAAGCTTCCCTACAAAAAGCGGTGTCAGACAAGGATGTCCACCCTCTCCATCCTTGTTTAACTTCATCACTGATGAAACAATGAGGCAAACGCTCTGAGGTCCTCAAAACCGTGGTATTCAGTTTATTGCCGGTGAGAACCTTGTCGATCTGGGGTACGCGGACGACACTGCCCTCATCTTTGAAGTCGAAGGCGCAGCACACGCTCTGTTCAATGAACTGCCATGCACTTTCAAACTGCCTTATAACGTGTAGCCTCTGACATGTCCCTTACAATTCAAGGAGAATCACTGAAGTTTGTGGGGTTGTATTATCTTGGACGAATGTGCCTAATGAATTAAGTGCACTCAAAGGCCCGAATCAAGTGTGCTAATTTGTCACTTGTGGCATCAAAAAGGCATATCACTGGGTCCCAAGGGTTGCATGTACCAGGCTACAATAAGGGCTATATTGTTGTATGGTTGCGAAGAATGGCCTCTACTAACAGATGGTGAGGCGTTTCAGGTTTTTGACAAACGAGGCCCCAGAAGTGCTGCTGGTGTCAGATGACGTCACTGGGTTTGTGACGAAGTAATTAGAAAACGGATATTTGGTTGTTCAGCAAGTACTTCATTTGCGAAGAAAATCCAACACAATCAGTCTGGTCATGTGCTACGCATGTCAAAACACTGTCTACTAAGACGAGTGTTGTTCTTAGTGGCGCAAACCGAGATGTGGTCAGTCTATGACTGGGTAGAAGGGTGTACAAGAAATGGCGTCTGATCGATGTCAGTGGCGTTTGTGTTATCAGTTTCTTTCCAGACTGTCCGGTTGAGCGCTTGAAGGTGGAGACACATCAGATTGCCCGACACAGGACACCACTAGGTTCTCTCTATCACCCAGTCGTTCTCTCTTCTTTTCACTCCAAGGCTTTGAATACAATTATATGAACCTTATGGTTGCACGGCAGTGAAGCATCAATGCCAACACTGATTGCAGTCTTCGATGATGATGATGCTGATGACGATGATGATTACTAATCTGTACTGAAAACCAATGTGTTCCATCCTTATTGGGAACTACCAGTAGTGTATAGATGACGAAATTCTGAGAGCTTAGAACCGGCAACCTTCCAAGATGAGTGAAACTTGCATCTGAGAAGTGATCACTCGATGAACCAGTCAGTGCGTGACCACGTGATGTGGTTTATGTAAATGAGCGATGAGCAGCGCTTTATCCTGTCTAAGTTCGAGTTAACCACACGGTTGGTCAGCCGCTCTTGACCGAACGTTTCGGTGTTCAACCTACCACCTGAGAGGCCTCTGGAGTTCTTTAGGATTTGCCCTCCTGATGATTCTCAGTAAGGATGAAGACTCTCTACACTGATTCTACACTCTTCGGCATAAATTGGCCTCACTAGCAGAACAAAATCTCAGTTGGAAATTATAGAGTCGCCTCATACTACTATCACCTATATTTTGTTTGTCACGCCCCTTTATTGGTCAGTGGAATTTTTTGTGTTTAATTTCCCCATAATACAAACCACTCATTACAACTCAGTAAATGTGCTGAATTCATCTGAGGAATTTGTTGAAATTACTAGGCTACATATCAACATTTCTTGCAGCTGTCACCTGTTACAGTCCCGTGTTAGACTCCTGAAATATTTGTATTAGCCTACGAAGTGACCCGTGAACAACTTTTCAAGAAATACTAAGTACTTCATGCTATCATGGAACAGCTTATCTTCGACTGCTCCCTGGAACATTCAGTTTCCAAGCCGGTCGCTAGGGTTTATTTTTTTCCTGGCTGTCCAGTTAGACAATACATCGGGAATACTGTAGGCGAACCAATCGGATATTCATGGCTTGTTTGCCTTGTTTGCCTAGTCACTGTCGTCGGCTCTCGGATCCTCTGTCAATGGGCTGAACTGGTTAATTCCGTCAGCGCTGGAACATGCACACTTAATACAGTTGAACACCTTTGAGAAACCTATCGAATGTGCAGTAAGGTACGGCATACGCTTATTTCATGGGCTTCCAGAAAAGCATTCCAGCAATAAAGCCAGAGTGCAGAACCTTTTTTTCTTTCAGTAAATAACGGACTAAACAGCATGAATCCAGAACCAACTTCGAGGAGAGCTCTTTAACCAACGAAAAATGTTTCGCTGAAGGCCAAAACATCAGCTCTCCATTACTTGAGTTCATTACAAACAGAGTTGTTTGTTTTCAGGTAGGTATATTCCAGTATCAGCATGCCATATCAGTTTTGCGAGCGTCAATGTGGCCTACATTTGGCAACCAATGTGTTTGGCTGGGCTATGCGGATTTGTCTTCAGATTCCGATCTCGGATAGTAGAGTGTAGTTTGTCTTCCCTAAAAGTCAGTGCTTGTGACCTTTACATCTAGCATTAAATTTAGGTTGCTGCTCGTTTATTTAGCTGCGGTCACGGACGAGACGAGGTTAAATCCTAGTTCCGTCTGATCTAATTGCCATTTTCCATGTCATTCTAAACCTACTAAAAATTTGAGGAATCAGTTTTATCCGAGGACCATGCCTGAGTCACTATTGACCCCTATCCATTGATAGAACGACTGTTGCTTCACTTTCTACGCGAACGATCCAACATGCATAGAACCCTATCCAGCGTACAAGCTGGGATTATTGTCAGAGTATGGTGATAGCAGAAGGCAATCTACTTTGGACTGATAGACTGCTGACTGATGCTAATCACTTCGTGATATCACTTGTATAAGGAATTATACAACCAACCTGTACATGGACACAAAAATGCACACAATGGACATACCTGACCGTCTATGAAGAGCAAACGCTCGTTTGCATATTAAACAGCCTGATTATCGTCCAAATAACCGTATGCTGACTGACAATGGTCAGCTTACATGTAAGTTGTGACATCCATGGTAGTAGAACGCACTTCGTCCAACCGCAACTGGATCAGACATCCTTCGTCGAGACAATCTTCCGCACTATTTACCATATTCTGTCAATGAGTAAACCTTACCTTATTATACCCTTGTGTCTATCCCATTACATGTGGCTCTCTCTCATATTCATAGGCCTCCCCATCCAGCTGGGCTTAAAAGCGTCATTAGCGAGAGATTCAGCTGGGTAAAAGCGTCATTAGCGAGAGATTCAGCTGGGTTCCAGGTAATTCTCTCGCCCAAAGCAAACCGATACACAAATGAGTGTTTTTGTCGAACTCCCCTTATTGTTTAACTTCTTTTCACATTGGTACGAATTTCGTGGAACATACGTTTTTTCTTGTATACCTAGATAGGAATCAAATAGATTGGTTGATGCGGCATCAAATTCATTAGGTGTCAATCCAGTAGCTTGATCTAATTGGAGAATGTTGGGTTTTCGATTTGGAATCCACGGCCACGTGTAAGTCATAGGATCCCGGATACCCAAACAAAGGTACATTTGTACAACTAATTACCCACGTTCACTGGTTCCGTAACAGCTGAACACATCTAATGACCGAGCAGCACAAGACAGTGTCATCTACAGTACACCAGATAAGAACAGCACAATGCGTCGGTCGTCCAATCCAAACTGATTATAATGGTTCGAATTGATAAGTGTGCCATCACCGGACGAGTCAAAACCAGTCAGGCAAGCGAGTGGACTGAACTAATACCCATCAGAAAGCATGCCAGTAATGGAAAGGACGATCAGCCGGATGTCAACAAAAGTGTGGCAAAGAAAACCAACTGCACTAGGCAAACAAATAGATAACGCAGTTATGTGATTGGGAGGGGTATTTGAGGAATTTAATTCAACACGTGGTGCGTCAAGTCATTTATATTCACAGGGATTTTAGTGAGTCCTATAAAATGACAATAAAGAAATCGAATAGTGCATTGCATCACTGTGGCACCGTTTTGGTGCCTAACTGCTATGCCACCAGAGGGAAGCACGAGGGCTGGGATACTGTCAGGTTGCCCAAGCCTAAACAGAAGAAGTCTGGAGGCAAAGGTCGGGTTCGAACCGCGAACCTTCCGGTCAGTAAACTCATGCTCTAACCACTGAGCCATCTCCTCACATGCGAAAGAATGTTCAGAGTTCGATGACTTACGTAAAGATAATTTGATATAGGTTACAACCATTCAGAAATATGGATCAAAATGAATCGGTTCTGCGGCGACCTAATCGTAGGCACTGACACTGATCTTCAAGGACCAACTGATTGCAAGGTGGCTAGAAAAGTCGTACGGGTATGTCAATTCGGTATCTCTCCGGTTATTATCCTTCGAGTCCCTTTGAGGAAATGAAGGTACCTGGCCTCTGGATAGTTCAAATTTTGTACAATTATTTCCAGTATTCATTAGAACATCGTTTAGATCTGTGATGGACGTATTATTAATCTAAATGAGCAGAAACAGGAACTGTGGAAAGGGATATGCGATTTACAAGCCCCACATAAATAAAGGCCTTCTGTCAAAAGATTTCAGTTTATCGGAATAATGACTGTCTTGATGAAAGGTCGAAAAGAATGGCTCCTCAACTCATTCTTTGCGAGGTCAGTCTAAAATCAGTAGTGAAAGTGGGTGAGGATACACCAAACCCGACTACCCCATATGTATTACGGAAAATCAGGTCAATTCAGTTAGCGAATGCAATTCCTGTCATCACTACAGTGACCACTCTAAAAGTTAAGGACCATAGAAGCTATCAGATGAAAACCTTGACCCCCAGCTTGCCAACCGAAACCACCAAACATATGCAGACCATACGCTCACGAATAAAAAGGGATTTTGGAGTGTGATTGATCCAATTTTGTGAGAATACTGTCCTTTCGTTCTTTATTTAGTCCGTTTGCAGTTTCTCTTAACGCCACCAATATCCAATAAGGGACTAATTTTAGTCGGTTCCCAAAGGTTTTCTTTGCAAGATATACCTGACCCTCTGGGGATAATTTTGTCACCGTTTCCATACCCCGAGAAGTTGTGAATGCTTATTTAGGGATTTCTGGTCATTCTTTTGATAAAGACTCAACAAGCAGAATCACCTTTTAGGGTTCGTTCCCGCTTTCTAGCATGTCGACACATCGATTACGTAGAGCCAAAACAGATGGGCATATCCATACCCGTTGGCAGATAGACTGTCACCACCAAGTATTCTAAAAATAATGTGTGTACGACCGGTGGATTTTTTTCGAAAATGGGCGATCTTGCTCTCCATTAAAAGTTGCTTGTATGACACTTGGGTAGGCTACATGCTGTTCACTCTTAAAACATTATGGTGCGAGTTGCAATAAACAGGTAACTTTTCATCTGTCTCAATACTATTTTCTTATTTTTTGAAACCCTGGACAACCAGACATTCCTTTACTTCCCCGACGTCTTAGACTTGAAGGAGCCCAAAATCAATCCCGCTTTATCTTTATTCCTACACCATGGGTGCGTTATGTTCCTCAGAGTAATTAGCATACCTTCGGGTAATGTAGACACTGTCAATTACCACTCTCATTCCTAAAAGCATGTTCAAGTGATTTGTTTCTGACAGTAATTTGTGTCACTGATTGCATTCTACCCCTTTTCAGAAAGCTCCGCGAGGACTTTTCCGACCTGCGACCCAAAGGACCATTCAAATTTAGTGCCCCACAATATGGGAAGCGCTAGTTCGAACAACAATTTTGTCTGAGTTTGGCCAACTGTGTCCACTTGCTTTACCTGTACGCATATACATCTGCACAAACGCCTATCCATGGGAAGCGGTGCCAGTGCACCAGGATTCATGTCTGTTCCTACAAACGGTCGTGCAATCGCAATTTTATATCATCATCCTAAAATTGAACGTCTTTTCGTCTAGCGCTACACCGAAATCTGTCACGACCCCGGAAGTTTCCGTTCACTGTTCTTTTTCAAATGGTCTTGTGCCCAGTTTCGAATAACTGAATGTCTTCGAGCCCCAGTGTGAATTAAACTGCATAACGTGTCCGTGGTTTTGTCCTTTTCTCAAAAGTGTACCATTCCAACGCTTCCATGATCCGCTGTAATAAAAAATCTCGATATTCCATAATCAGGATTTTAACGGTGTTGGGGATTGCGTTGCTTTGGGGAATTAATGTGGGTAGAGGTGACTTGGTGTTCCTCAGGTCAGGTTTCCGATTCCCAAATCAGACACAAACAGATATGTCTTCTTGGTAAAAAAAACAGATGACGTCAATACCCTAACGTACTTTGTTGAGAGCTGTGAATTGGTGTTGGTATTGTTATTTTTATTAGAGAGGAATGGGACATCGGAGCACAGACGGTTCGCTAGCGACCGTGGTGGGGTCAGCTTTTAGTAAGTGATAACCTCTGGATGGAACACATTAGCAGCTTGTGAGTAATTGGAACTTCAAATGTTCATGCACCGGTGGTTGATTTAACACAGGAAGGCCTGGAGACTAGGACTATCAAAAAGGATATCAGGCATAAATTGAAGGAGAACGGGTCAACAGCGACTCTTATAAATTGAACCGGCCAGGTAAGAATTAAATGATATAAGCAAGCATATTCATGCCTCTTCATAAGTGCTCTGTATTATGGTGACGCTCCTCCCAGGGGAAAGACAACTTTGCAAACAAACACCTGATTTTATCTGACCCTCTTTGTGTTCTCAAAAATGCCCACAGCCTCGTCTTACTCTATTGGAACATTATCTGTATCGGAAACACCGAGAAAGTCGAGTTATTCGGGAGTGGCTCCTGTTGGATTTCTAGCAAACCGGCAAGAATTCAGTCCGTTCAGGCGCTGCTACTTCCCTTTTATAGTACCCTTATAGGCTGCCCCGCCAAATTATACTAAAAAATCACAAGAACAGTCATATGCAGATCTGTTAAATTTGGAAAGTCACCAAGTGTTAAGCGCAAAGTGGATCCCGAAGGTATATGACCCATTGTACTAACTGCGATGGCATTCGTCATCTGGGCGGCGCTAGCCTGGCTTTGGTCAACATAACCGCAAATGGCTGCTACGCTCAAATCATTCGCATTGGCGCACATACTGCAGGTTCTATGAGGGTTCACACTGGCATGATCTCCATTCAGATGGTTACGTTCTGGAATCGTTGAGCGTACAACCGACGAAGCTCTTTGTGTAACAGCAGAAGCACTATTTTGTGTATCCAGCACCACAACCGGATGCTCTCGTCGACCTTGCCGCATTGGCGTAAGAACAGGCAAACGTGAAGGTCGGTGTTCGGAAACAGCATCGGATTTTTTCCGTATGAATAGACACTTCCTATATCCACAAATGCTTCGCCGTTTGCTTTTGGGTAGTTATTGTCCTGACCGACAGAACGGCCACCATTTACGTGGCCATGACACGGCATATTGTTGGTACTATTCTTGCGACGAGATGTTCGATGAACGGGAGTACCATTTAGTATCATATTATTAAGAGTGAGGCGCCGTCCACACCGGCCATCTTCCACATTATGTCCAGTAGATGAAAAGCCCACGTTACTACCAATAATAGCTGACTGCATATTAGCGTTGGCTGCGACGAGGAGGGATGAATCGTTAAAAGCGTCTGTATCATGGCCACCTTTCACAGCATGATCCAAACCTTTGTCAACCGCAGCAGTGACCATTTTTCCGAAGTTCCGTGATTCCTATCTCACCAACCGCTCCAGGAGTCGATGGGGGAGGCAAAGGTGATCAGTTTTTCATCTTTAATGCCATGTTTTCGGGACAGCCGAGAAGTTCTGTGGACAGAGTCCGACCAGCAGCGAGACCTGGGAACATACCACCCTGGATCGATTCATTGACTGTGCTGGTTAGATGGTGTGCCCATGTCCCCCCAACACTTATGACCGTCCCCAGCCCCAGTGTATCGACGCCTCTTTGAACTTGATTGCTTGATCGATGGTGGTGGTGATGATGGTGAGTATGATGTTGGCGGTGACACGGAGTGCCTTGCTGGTGAGCACCATGGGCATGTTTCTCTCCATAGCCAGTATGCTGAGGACCACCACCAGTGCCGGAAGCCACGTTCCCAGCAGCTGCTTGCCGACTTGCTAGCTGAGCGACCGCGGTACCACCAGTTCCAGCGACACCATTGGTCATTGGCGGAGCAGGAGTTGTTGGAGCCTGTACGTCATCTGGGCGGCGCTAGCCTGGCTTTGGTCAACATAACCGCAAATGGCTGCTACGCTCAAATCATTCGCATTGGCGCACATACTGCAGGTTCTATGAGGGTTCACACTGGCATGATCTCCATTCAGATGGTTACGTTCTGGAATCGTTGAGCGTACAACCGACGAAGCTCTTTGTGTAACAGCAGAAGCACTATTTTGTGTATCCAGCACCACAACCGGATGCTCTCGTCGACCTTGCCGCATTGGCGTAAGAACAGGCAAACGTGAAGGTCGGTGTTCGGAAACAGCATCGGATTTTTTCCGTATGAATAGACACTTCCTATATCCACAAATGCTTCGCCGTTTGCTTTTGGGTAGTTATTGTCCTGACCGACAGAACGGCCACCATTTACGTGGCCATGACACGGCATATTGTTGGTACTATTCTTGCGACGAGATGTTCGATGAACGGGAGTACCATTTAGTATCATATTATTAAGAGTGAGGCGCCGTCCACACCGGCCATCTTCCACATTATGTCCAGTAGATGAAAAGCCCACGTTACTACCAATAATAGCTGACTGCATATTAGCGTTGGCTGCGACGAGGAGGGATGAATCGTTAAAAGCGTCTGTATCATGGCCACCTTTCACAGCATGATCCAAACCTTTGTCAACCGCAGCAGTGACCATTTTTCCGAAGTTCCGTGATTCCTATCTCACCAACCGCTCCAGGAGTCGATGGGGGAGGCAAAGGTGATCAGTTTTTCATCTTTAATGCCATGTTTTCGGGACAGCCGAGAAGTTCTGTGGACAGAGTCCGACCAGCAGCGAGACCTGGGAACATACCACCCTGGATCGATTCATTGACTGTGCTGGTTAGATGGTGTGCCCATGTCCCCCCAACACTTATGACCGTCCCCAGCCCCAGTGTATCGACGCCTCTTTGAACTTGAGCCTTGAGGAAAGTTTAGAGTGGAATTTCGTTGTTAGCACTGAAAAAATCTATGCAAAGTGAATTGTTGACTTAACAAAGTTTACAAATAAGTTCATAAATACATGTACATGTTGTATATAAAACATGTATATAATGTAGTATGTATCAAATATCCATGTGGATGGTTTTCGTATCATTTACACTCTGTTCGCCTAACCGGTATCCCGGAATCCTAACATGTGCCGAAAATATTTGCGTGTGAATCACCACATTGCGAAATCTTGCTAAAATATTTCACGATGCTCCACGACTTTCTGGATTGTCCTTTTTAAGACTGAAAGCACACAAACATGACAGCAACTGTCCGAAGCTGTCCTTATTCTGTCCAATTATAGGGAATCATATATACATACAGATAAGCAAAAGCCTTTTGTAGTCCACCTAGGCACAGTAGTATTACGGTGGCATTGCACACACAACAAGCTAGTGTGAATTTTATGATTTAAGTACGAGTAACGCTCCATACTGTTTGAATACGAGTCACCCATACTGCTGATCACCGCTCGTAGTCGAACGGATAAGTCTGAGACTGCCAGCCGGGAAGCTGAAGATTCGACGAATTCTACGAATGCGCACTGCTGATGGTTCCCGACAAAGTCTCAATGGTTGTCCAGTGCTTCTCAGCTTTTCATCATTGACTGGCTTTGCATACAGGACGAAATCTTGACTAGACTCGTAACCCTGTTGATCAGGTGGCTGTTGATATGTTCGCCGAGCTTGGCAATTGGCTTGCAAACGTTTCGTCACCATACGAGGAGACATCATCAGTGCGCAGTTGAGTGAGTGTTGTTGCCGCGTGGAGGCTTGTCGGCAGGCGAAACTCCCATCGACGGGCTGTTTTGAGCGTGGAACGCCCGAAGTAGTTGATAATTTGTTGAAATATTGGTAGCTCGGGTGAGTTTATTGGTTGTTGATCAGGTGGCTGTTGATCTGTTCGCCGAGCTTGGCAATTGGCTTGCAAACGTTTCGTCACCATACGAGGAGACATCATCAGTGCGCAACTCGTAACCCTCTTTTGCACAAACACATCCCCTCTGTATACAAACTATTCCATAGTTTTGCCAATAAAATGGAGACGTTTTTGGTTGTATTGGTTGAACGGATGATGTGGGCGCAACCAGATGATCAAGTTGGCCGATTCTCAGAGTTGTACGGTTTCTTTCAAGACCTACAGCAGACAGTATATCAATCGATGCCTTGCGGTTAACTCAGCCTGACAGGGCTTGTTTGCTGAACTTCGGTTCTTCACACATGGTTAACTACTGTGACCATGCAGCCCCATAAGGGAATTTTGTAATTCTTGAGTAAAATTAGTGCTCCTACTCAGTACAAACTCATTCAGAATCTAAGAAGTCGTCGACTGACTAAATGTACACACGGTAACCAGCTACTGCTAGCTCGTATGCGACCGTGAATATACTAGGTATCCTCTCATAATGAACAGATAGAGAGTCCTGTTCATAAATCCTGTTTTCTAAATTTGACTGTATTCTCATTTTCTTGACCCGTCAAAACTGGAAGGTGTCCAACATGATTGTATCAGTGCTTCCCAATATCAACAAGCATTCTTCAACACGTTCACTGAAACCTGGCGTGAATATTCTGGCCTCTGTCTAGCTGTGTACTTTATGTGACTGCTCCACTTCGGTACTGCCGTGGCGTCACACCAGACAGGAATGTTGTACACTGAGCACTGCACACTGACAACAGTCACTTATTGACTTTGACTGATTTTTCAACCGTTTGAACGTGAAAAAAAAGAAACCGTCTGCGTTATCAAGCTTCAAAGCTGGTTCCTTGATCTTTTAGACTAGAATACGAACAAAACACTGAAAAAATCCTGACTAGCTTCACTGTTGACATGGTCGATGATAGGTTAATAGTTCGACTCGCTTACAGTGATGTATGTACTCTTATGAGTACATATGGCTGAATAGTAACAGAGCGGAAGGCTGAATCCTTGTCAGCAACATAACAGAGAAGCCCACTGTAGCTACGGAGCGCAGAAATGAACCCATAACAATGCACAAGAATAGAGTGGAAAACAAATTAGCTGGAGCAACTACAAGCAACACAACTAGAAAGAGAACAAGTGAAGCATGACATGAATCAGGAAACTTTCCAGCACAAAACTCACAGAGGTCGAACAGAAGGTATTAACCTAAGATTCAGTTCCGGTAGTAAATACTCCTCCACCTAGTGAGCCTGGAGGAATTGGGTGACGTTTAAAGAACTCAGTGGATACTTCCGTAACTAGTTCAGACAATCAATTCGGTTGTTACACACAACAATACGTGTACAGCTTTCGAAGCTAAAAAAGACAAACATTAGCCACTCTCAGAAAGTAGGAAACCACTGTCATGCTACCAGCTGGAAATAAACGTATGACGGTACCCATGGGTAAAGTGGATTACACAGGTAACTCTCAATAATGTCTTCACCGGCATCCAGTTCACAAGGAACGCAGAAAGACAACCTGATAGCTCTGGCCGCAACCACCATAGAAGTGTCTAATGGATAGTTGGAAAATGCAATCTACAAAAAAGCAGTAATGGATATTTCCTAATCTATCACAGCAACCTTCAAAACTCTCACACCCAGAGTTGTACACTAACATTAGTCAAGCCGTTCAAAACCCACTTTACTGGTAGAGGTTCTAAGAAGGAATCGGAAAATGACTTTACAAATTATTTCGGATAGACACTTGTTTAAAAAGATGTTTGAATACTTCCCAGGTCACACGACTACGTAGCTTCAACTACACAACATGGAGATGAGGAATTCTTTCTTCGTACGTCAAGACCATTCCAACAAAGCGGAGTGAAAATGGAGCACGAACCTACTTATACACTGAAGACAACAATCGAAACCAAGAGAGAACGAGAAAATCGTGGATAAGACCAATTATGTATACAAAGTTCAGCACAATGAATGCAAAAAAACAATGTGGGAAAAGCTGAAACGGAACAGTTCACCAGAAAAAATGAAATCCAGGTTGCCATTAGAAGGCACCAGTTTTTGCTAGTCCCGATTCACAAAGGTCGAGAAAGACAACTGTTTAATTTGGACAGCTACGCTGTGGTGATCGCCAGAAACCGCCAATTGTTTTCGAAACAAGATAGCCTTCTACTCTGAATTTGCTGCACACGCATCTCAACATATAGTCTGTGAGCAGTCCACATTTCCTTAATCTCTGCATTTAGTGACACGTTCCCTTTCTTCATGTAACTACGTATAACTATCAAACCCAGTAAAAATAACGTGGTCCAGGGCATTAACCTAAGCACAACAATTTCAACCATGAACTCGCGTACTATGACCAAGAACCATGCTATGAACAATATGATAATGTCAAAACGATCAAATAACTGCTCAGCGACGATCAATACAATCAACTTCTGGATCTCTTCAGTTTGTGAGCACTTTCCGTTGGTTGGAAATCTGTGGCATAGAAGAACAGCGCAATGAAGAGTGTGCACTCGAAAGCTTGCAACTTTGTTGCATGATGTATTGCTTACGTTACTGAACAGGATACATATTTGGGTTACTAATGCCACACAGAATATTTACTACTATAATTACAGTTTTTTTGTTTTGGCTGGTTCGTGAGTAGTACTCGAGGTTTTTTATTATCCTCTTGTAGGTTTCTTTCGTGCGGTGAGCTCCACGTCAACGTAACAGACCAGAAGATACGATGTTCTACATACATCGGTTCTCATCTGGGTCGGTAATATTTGCGAAAAACAAAGGACTAGGCGAAAGCACTTGGGTAGGGACATTCAGCAACACAAGTATCAGCCGTACATTAGAAGAAAATCCACCGTCTCCGGTTGGGATCGTCAATATTTTATTTTTGACGCGCACCTCGTGCGAACCACATTTCCAGGGCAGGTGATCCAAACAGGCAGTTCGGAGAAATTTTAGTCCCGGCCATATGATAAACGTGAAACATGAGAACTAATGATGATTTTATGTTGCTTTTTGTTTACTGCCATAAATTTCACTCTCGCACACGTTTGTTCACCCCGATGGTCAGGGTCTTTCCTAATGAGGGCCACTGTTGTGAATTTATCCCCATTCATTACGACATCGTGTGTTTGTTCGTATGTTTGATTCAAGAACACATAAAACCCAAGCCGGATACCACGGACGCACTCATGTGCTACCATGTGCCCAAGACCAAAATTGTTTTAATTTGGAGATCGCAAGGGAGAATTGCATCAATAAGTTTGTTTTGAAGATATAAGACCAAATACTCAGCGAAGGAAGTTAGAATAAACTCAGTATTCGGAACCGAGACTTCATTTCCGTTATCACTCTTCATGTGCCTAGAAGTTTATTGTATCCTGTATCCGAATAGCCCCTGACATTCACACTTAATTCATTTAATAAAGCAGTCCTTCGTACGATGGGAGAAATCGCACTTCACTCTTCTTGGGTAGATATTGCTCCGACCAGTTTCCAAATAGGATGAAGTCAGGATAGCTTATACTAGTGTGACGAATTTTATTGGATGTGCGTTTGAGTAAAAATAGAGGCACAGTTTGATGAAGAACTGTCATCGTTGGTAGTGTGAGCAGATCCGAAAATATTGGTAGGTACTTCACCAAATATGTGGAGTTAATCTATGCTGAAAAGCCAAAAAGCACTGTGCAGCTGTCTCATCCTTATTGTAAATCATCAGCAGGATGAATTT